TGAAATCATAGAGTTTGCAATTCTAAGGAAGGGTAGAAGGGAGAACAGCAAAATAGAGACTTAATGACTTCTTTGTTTCGGGCTTCACCGAGAAGTCTGAAGGAATGCCTAACATAGTGAATGCTAATGGAAGGGGTAGGTTTAGCAGATAAATAAAAAAAGAACAAGTTAAAAATCACTTAGAAAAGTTAGATGCCTGCAAGTCACCAGGGCCTGAATGAAATGCATCCTAGAATACTCAAGGAGCTAATAGAGGAGGTATCTGAGCCTCTAGCTATTATCTTTGGAAAATCATGGGAGACGGGAGAGATTCCAGAAGACTGGAAAAGGGCAAATATAGTGCCCATCTATAAAAAGGGAAATAAAAACAACCCAGGAAACTACAGACCAGTTAGTTTAACTTCTGTGCCAGGGAAGATAATGGAGCAAGTAATTAAAGAAATCATCTGCGAACCCTTGGAAGGTGGTAAGGTGATAGGGAATAGCCAGCATGGATTTGTAAAGAACAAATCATGTCAAATCAATCTGATAGCTTTCTTTGATAGGATAACGAGTCTTGTGGATAAGGGAGAAGCTGTGGATGTGGTATACCTAGTGTGACAGGGTCAGGCCAGATGGCTACAGGAGAGTGATAGAAGGCAGATATATTAGCTTCAGATTAAGTAGGTCTCTTTTCCCTGGATAAGGTAACAGGGAAAGTTCCAGAACAATCAGGAACTTTCTGGAAATAATTAAGGCAGACAGCCTGATTAGAACACCTGCAGCCAATCAAGAAGCTGCTAGAATCAATTAAGGCAGGCTAATCAGGGCACCTGGGTTTAAAAAGGAGCTCACTTCAGCTTGTGGTGTGGGTGTAAGAAGCCGTGCTGCTGGAGGTCTAAGGAGTATAAACATTAACAGACACCAAGAAGAAGGTCCTGTGGTGAGGATAAAGAAGGTGTTGGGAGGAGGCCACGGGGAAGTAGCCCAGGGAATTGTAGCTGTTGTGCAGCTGTTCCAGGAGGCACTCTAGACAGCTGCAGTCCATGAGGCCCTGGGCTGGAACCCAGAGCAGAGGGCGGGACTGGGTTCCCCCCCAAACCTCCCAATTGACCTGGACTGTGGGTTCTACCAGAGGGGAAGGTCTCTGGGCTGTTCCCCAACCCACATGGAGAATCTCTGAGGCAAGAAAATCCGCCAATAAGCGCAGAACCCACCAAGATAGAGAAGGAACTTTGTCACACTAGACTTTAGTAAGGCATTTGATACGGTCTCGCATGATATTCTTATCGATAAACTAGGCAAATACAATTTAGATGGGGCTACTATAAGGTGGGTGCATAACTGGCTGGATAAACAGTACCCAGAGAGTTGTTATTAATGGTTCCCAATCCTGCTGGGAAGACATAACAAGTGGGGTTCCGCCGGGGTCTGTTTTGGGACCGGATCTGTTCAATATCTTCATTAAACCACTTAGATATTGGCATAGAAAGTACGCTTATTAAGTTTGCAGATGATACCAAAACCGGGAGGGATTGCAACTGCTTTGGAGGACAGGGTCATAATTCAAAATGATCTGGACAAATTGGAGAAATGGTCTGAGGTAAACAGGATGAAGTTTAACAAAGACAAATGCAAAGTGCTCCACTTAGGAAGGAACAATCAATCAGTTTCACACATAGAGAATGGGAAGAGACTGTCCAGGAAGGAGTACGGCAGAAAGGGATCTAGGGGTTATAGTGGACCACAAGCTAAATATGAGTCAACAGTGTGATGCTTTTGCAAAAAAAAGCAAACATGATTCTGGGATGTATTAACAGGTGCATTGTGAGCAAGACACGAGAAGTCATTCTTCCGCTCTACTCTGCACTGGTTAGGCCTCAGCTGGAGTAGTGTGTCCAGTTCTGGGCACCACATTTCAAGAAAGATGTGGAGAAATTGGAGAGGGTCCAGAGAAGAGCAACAAGAATGATTAAAGGTCTTGAGAACATAACCTATGAAGGAAAGCTGAAAGAATTGGGTTTGTTTAGTTTGGAAAAGAGAAGACTGAGAGGGGACATGATAGCAGTTTTCAGGTATCTAAAAGGGTGTCATAAGGAGGAGGGAGAAAACTTGTTCATCTTAGACTCTAAGGATAGAACAAGAAGCAATGGGCTTAAACTGCAGCAAGGGAGGTTTAGGTTGGACATTAGGAAAAAGTTCCCAACTGTCAGGGTGGTTAAACACTGGAATAAATTGCCTAGGGAGATTGTGGAATCTCCATCTCTGGAGATATTTAAGAGGAGGTTAGATAAATGTCTATCAGGGATGGTCTAGACAGTATTTGGTCCTGCCATGAGGGCAGGGGACTGAACTCGATGACCTCTCAAGGTCCCTTCCAGTCCTAGAATCTAGGAATCCCCACTGACTCAGCAGCAGGTCTTCTGCTGCTGCTAGGGCCCCGGGCTGGGACACAGTGGAGTGGGAGGGCCTGCGTCCCCCCTGCCACCCAACTCGCGGGTGGCATTCTCCCCCTTTCCCAGGTCCTTTTGAGCCAAGGGCCTGGGCTTGCTGTTATATACTGTTGTTGCTCAGCCCCTGCCTGAGGGCCTAAGCGCCTGACTCACTATTGCCCCGCCCTGACCTAGGGCCTGGGCTGACAGTTATATACTGTAGTTGCTCAGCCGCGGCCTGAGCGCCTGACTCACCATTGCCCCACCCTGACCTAGGGCCTGGGCTTACTGTGTTTAGTTCTACCCTCAAAAGGCTGCAGAGGAAGACTCCCACGGCCGAACTAATTGCCCACAAGTTTAGTGAGTTTAGTGAGGTGGTGTGGTTCCCCGCTGCCCCGGAAAGAGACGAGCCCCAGCTGACCTCTCTACAAATCTGCACTTCTGTCATTACTGTCTAACCCCTCCATAATTTCCTGCAAGTGAAAATTTAAATTGATAACAGAAAAATGCTTTAAAATTATCAATATTATCCACCAAAATTTTAAAAAAGTAAAAATCGCAGTTCTGCCAAGCCTAGTTATATATTACAAGACATAAAAGGTTCTTGGTACCTGTAAATTGCATTCTTATAAAGTATAACACTCTGATATCAAGACCTACCCACTGAATTAAAACAGCTCAAGGTTATAATTCTAGTGCCTTAGTTACATTACAATTGTTTACAACATACAACTTTGCATAACACATTTACTGTAAGACAAAGTGACATTGACTGTACCTGAAATACTGGGCCAAAAGCACCTGCTTACAAAGGTCTCAAATTCCATTTAAGTAAGTGGAGTTCACCTGACCTACACCAGGGATTATTTGATCAAGTGAGCTTAATTTTTTTTTTAAAGGAAATAAAATCAAAATTACTCGAATATATAAATATGATGAATCTGATATTTTTGTTAGGACATTTCTTAGACTATTGAATTTAAGGACCAAGCTTTGAGGCATAGAAAGCCAAGTCATTCTCATTAAAAAGAAAGCAATTAAAAAAAAAGTTACCATTCGAAGTTTTCTTTAATTCCGCTTTCAGTTTTTCTGTTTCTTTCCTCAGTTTTTTATTGTGTTCTTCTAGAGCCTGTTCATTTTCACACTTCCCTTTTTCATTCAATGCCTAGCCAAAAAAAAAATAAAAAAAAAAAATTGTGAGTTTAGTTAGTATTAGTTTAAATTACTGCTAGATAGTAATACAAATGACCAAACAACATTGGCCCTGATCCTACAATGTGCTGGATGTCTTCAAGTCCCACTGATGTCAAAAGGAAGCTATAAAAGATTAGCAACTCTGGGGAAAAACAAAACAAAAACACAAAAAACCCCAAACAGAAGCATCCATCAATATAGTCATAACATTTAAGGTTGAAAGGGACCATTAGGACTGTCTATTATAACCTCCTGCATAACATTGGCCAAAGAACTTCACCCAATAACTTCAGCATCAAACCCACAATGTGTCTAAACTATAGCATCTCTTTGAAAATAAAAGAGATCCAGTCTTGATTTAAAGACTGCAAGTGATAGAGAATCTATCACATCTCTTGGTAAGCAGCTCCAATGGTTAGCTACCTTCACTGTTAAATTGTGCTTTATTTCTACTCTGAATTTGTCCAGGGGTAGCTTCCAAACATTGGATCTCATCATTCCTTTTTCTGCCAGATAAAATAAGCATCTATTATCAGAAATCTCTTCTCCTGGTAATACTTGTAGTTTGTGATCAAGTCATCACTTAACCTTTTATATTAATAAGATGTTTAGGTACTTAAATACAACTTTATCTTCTTTCCAGAAATGCGAAGCACCTGGAAGTCCACACAAAAGCTGTAGTAGGCACTAAATAAAAGTGATGTACCTACTGTACTGGCTATTATAAATCTTTATATTTCAAGCAATTAAATAACTGTTGTGCCTTAATTATAAAATGATAAAATATCCAGGATTAGTCACTGTTTCTTGTGACTCTTTTTCCTCATTTCTCCTACAACTTCCTTTCCCGTGCGCCTACTCCTCCCTCCCCAGTATTCTCCCTTCAAAGAAATTCAATCCTCCGCTCATCTGACCTCCCACATCAAGCACATGAACGTGAACTGTCCCATTTAAGGAGAGCAGGGGAAGAGGCAAGCTTTCAGGTGAAGAAAAGGAGCAACACATTTTCTTGTGCAGAGCGACAGAGGGTTGAGGATACTGGACATACAAATCATTCAAAGGTAAAGAGGCAGACACAAGAGTCAGGTACGTAGGAAAAAGAGCTGAACTCATGAGATCAAATGAGATTGCTCAGAGTATTCAGGAGAAAGAGCAAAGGCCCTTGATAAAAATCTTGGGACATCATCCAAGACGGGTGAAAGAGGAGCTACCAAATAAAATGTTGAAGGAGTAGTCAGTAATGTAAGAGGTGGTGTGTTTGATTATGGATTTGTCACCTCTAACATGGGCCCCTTATACTCCACCACACAATTTCAGAGCAAGTGTCCTTCAGTTCTGTGGCAGTGTTCATTAGGTTAATTTGTTTTTTCATAATTTATTGCTGAGGAAGGTTACTCCCAATATGGTTGGGTGTTTAAGGTTTCTGTGGGGACAGTACCCAGCTGAGATAAATAAATACCAAGTACCCAGCTGAGTGAATAAAGCTCCATCCTTCTCTGGTTGACAGTGGGACCCTGGGAGGTCAGAGCTGGGCTGTAGAGAGAGCACTGTGTCCCACAGAGGCTATACTAGTGAGCTGGGGCACTGGCATAACTCTGTTTCTCCTCGGCTGTGAAGTGTGTCCATATGCAGAGAGTCTGACCAATACATACACATGCTTCCAGGGCTGGACAAAAGAATAGGCAACTATAGGCCCATACCTATGGGCCCAGCTCCTGAAAGCATTTGGCTATATCAGAATCTCAACTTTCAGTAAAAAAGGGTTTTGTTTTTTTTAGCCCTCATGGTTGTAGAGGTAACCCAAATCTGTAGACAAACATCAGCTCTGAGTGTAGAATTGCCCATTTTTTCCTCAATTGAATGTTAATTCAATCCCCTCCCCCACCCAATTCCTGCAAGCTACCTCAGCAGAGGACTGTGTGTGTGACAGGAGGGGAAGACAGCAGCAGGCCTGGCCCACTGAAGTAGATACACCCTGGCTGCTAATGTAAGTACTTGGGCCACCCTTGCTTTTCTGGGGGCAAGAGAGTGATCCCAAATGCTGCAACTGCTATTCTCCAGAAGAGGGAGGGGACCCTGATGCCATTCCTGCCAGGCTAAGAAAGGGACTCCATGATTCTGCTCTCATCTCTCTGTGGGAGCAGTGGACCTTATTCCACCACCACTTCAAGTGGGGGGTGGGGCTTTAGTGCAGGGGCAGAGCCATTAGGAACCTCCTGTCATTGTGTGCCCAGGGACCCAGACTATCTTAAACCAGGTCCACTACACTTTGCATCCCAAGCGGGATGGAGCTCTCCCTAGCACCTGCAACCCACCAACGTGGCCCTTGGCTGCCACTGTTCTCCCCTCAGGGGACACACCTCCAGAGATATGCAAGGAAGATCCTGATGAGCCAGGAGAGCTACTCTGCTTTCTGACTCTGTTATTTGCAAGAGGGGAGAATGTGTGTCCCCTTTGTAGCGAAAGCAGCACAGAAAGAGGAAGAGGAAGCTGCAGCCACAACACAGCAGGACAGAAAATGCAAGATGTCAGGCATCTGGCTAGAGCAAAATGGCAGATTTCCCAGCCAAAACAGGGGAGTCTATGGTAGTTTGGCAAAATGCAAAATTCCATGAACACAGAATCATGGACTACACAAAGACTTGCCTACAATCCACTCTACTGATATTATTTCCTTACAAGACACCTACCCAAATTACCAATAAATCCTTTCTAGTACATATTGATCTTAAAGTTTGTTCACATATGTAAGAGTTACCAAAAACAATTATGGTTCCTGGCTCCACAAGCTGTTACCACCTACTTACATTGAAAGTGTGCTTGAACACATCTCTAGATAACTTTATTTTGATAATGTATTTTATTGAACAGAATCTCAGTTGTGAAACAAAACTGCCAAAATTTGTATTTTTGACTTCTTGCTTTTAACTTTTTCCTACAGAGATCCAACTAGTTAGTGCCAGGCAAAATTCCTTATGTTACACAACACTGATGAAATACATTAATGTTCCTTCCTTAACAATACCATGTATTGAACCAGCCAAAGGATTACTTCAAATGGCAAATTTTAAACCTTTTGTTTCTACTTTTCCTAAAACAATATTTTTTTGAAAAGTTTAAATTGTAAGTGTATAAACAAATTAGCTAATCCCCAGGTAACAGTCATAATGAAAGTAGCTAGCAGGCCAATAGCTAACATAATACTAGATGTTTGTGTAATTGATTATATGACATGGTAGATTAAAAAAATGTAAGAAAAAATAAAAATCAGTTTTAGTTTAAATTGGATTTTTAGTTAAACTGAAAACAGGTCTCTTTTTAAAAAATAAACATACTGACAATTAAAATTTGAAATTAATCATTTATGTGAAGGCCTAAACTCCTTATAATGAATTAAAATCATTTAGATTAAATACTAAAAAATAAAATTAAGCAATTTGTATTTGCTGCCAAGCTTTAAAGAAAGTCAAACCACTGAACTGGTGGAAGTCACTGGCGAAGCAATTTGGAACCACAGTCCTAACCACAGTTAGGAAACCAACTGGGAGCTGAAAAAGCATGAAACTTCTTTTCCTCTTCCAATCTATGAATGAAAACTAAACGTGAGAGGATGAGATTTACAAGTTCTATAATTCTGAAAGACGTGGTGAACAGAATTAATCAGTTAAATTTACTAACTACAGATATTTTCTTTGTTTAATAAATTAGTTTGAAAGGCAAACCATGCTTTGATACATAAAAAATAGTGCATCCAGCATATTTAAGGTAGATTTAATAAAATAATTAAATGCTGTTTTTGTGCATTTTAATCAATTTTGAACTTCCATCCAAATACAGCTCAACACAAAATCACAAAAATTCATCTAGTAAAGAATAAATGCATAAATCAAGAATCTGAATATAAGTTAAGCTATATAATTGCTTAAATAAGTGTATTGCTAGCAAAAAGAAACAGCCTTTACACTAAATTTGATATCTTTAGTTGCACATCAACATGTTTTAATGGTTACCAACCAATGAGAATCAACTTTGTTAGGAAAAGAACTAAAAAGTATGATTAAAACAAGCAAAACATGATTAAAATTGATTATTTAAATCATTATTAAAATCTGTGATTTAAATCCTTTGATTTAATCAATTCATGCTATTACATGAGCCTCATTCAAGCAAAGTGTTGGGCAACCTTGGAAGTCGATAAGGACGATAAGGCCACTGCGGAGAAACCAAATTAATCCTTTGCATTGGTCTTCACAGCTGAGGAGGTGAGGGAGATTCCTAAACATGAGCCATTCTTTTAAGGTACAAATCTGAGGAACTGTCCCAGATTGAGGTGTCATTAGAGGAGGTTTCAGAACAAATTTTTAAACTAAACAATAGTAAGTCACCAGGATTGGATAGTATTCACCCAAGAGTTTTGAAGGAACTCAAATGTGAAATTGCAGAACTACTAACTGTGGAAGTAACTTAATTGCTCCAGACGCGATCCCGGCAATTAGAGGCCTGTAAGCCTGACTTCAGGACTGGGCAAACTGTTTGAAACTATAGTAAAGAACACAATTGTCAGATACGTAGATGAACAGAATTTGTTGGGGAAGAGTCAACATGGTTTTTGTAAAGGGAAATCATGCCTCACCGATCTACAACAATTCTTTGAGGGGGTCAACAAGCATGTGGACAAGGGGGATCCAGTGGATATAGTGTATTTAGATTTTCAGAAAGTCTTTGACAAGGTCCCTCACCAAAGGCTCTTAAGCAAAGTAAGCTGTCATGGGATAAGAGGAAGTTCCTCTCATGGATTGGTAACTGGTTAAAAGATAGGAAACAAAGGGTAGGAATAAATGGTCAGTTTTCAGAATGAAGAGCAGTAAGCAGTGGAGTCCCCCAGGGGTTTGTACTAGAACCAGTCCTATTCAACATATTCATAAATTATCTGGAAAAAGAGTAAACAGTCAGGTGATAAAATTTGCAGACGATACAAAACTACTCAAGATAGTTAAGTCCAAAGCAGACTGCGAAGAGCTACAAAAGGATCTCACAATACTGGGTAACTGGGCAACAAATTGGCAGATGAAATTCAATGTTGATAAATGCACAGTAATGCACATTGGAAAACATAATCCCAACTACACATAAAATGATGGAGTCTAAATTAGCTGTTACCACTCAAGAGAGATCTTGGAGTCATTGTGGATAGTTTTCTAAAAACGTCCACTCAATATGCAGCGGTAGTAAAAAAAGTTAACACAATGTTGGAAATCATTAAGAAAGGAATCGATAATAAGATAGAAAATATCATATTGCCCCTATATAAATCCATGGTACACCCACAACTTGAATACTGCATGCAGATGTAGTCGCCCCATCTCAAAAAAAGATATATTGGAATTGGAAAAGGTTCAGAAAAGGGCATCAAAAGTTATTAGGGGTATGGAATGGCTGCCATATAAAGAGAGATTAAGAAAACTCAGACTTTTCAGCTTGGAAAAGAGTGAACTAAGGAGGGATATGATAGAGGTCTATAAAATCATGACTGGTGTGGAGAAAGTAAATAAGGAAGTGTTATTTACTCTCTCATATAACACAAGAACTAGGGGTCACCAAATGAAATTAATAGGCAGCAGATTTAAAACAAACAAAAGGAAATACTTTTTTCCACACAAGGCAGTCAACCTGTGGAACTCCTTGCCAAAGGATGTTGTGAAGGCCAAGACTAGAACAGGGTTTAAAAAAAAGTACTCGATAAGTTCATGTAGGATAGGTCCATCAACGGCTATTGGGCAGGGATGGTGTCCGTAGCCTCCGTTTGCCAGAATCTGGAAATGGGCGACAGAGGATGGATCACTTGATGATTACCTGTTCTGTTTAATCCATCTGGGGCACCTGGAACTGGCCACTGCTGAAAGACGGGATACTGGGCTTGATGGACCAGAGGATACTTTGATCTGACCCAGTATGGCTGTTCTTATCAGTGAACAACAGCTTTCAAGAAGAGTGCTATATAAATGTGTGTTTCAAAAATCCTGTGCAGAAAGACATGCGAACTAGAGAGATCAATCACATCAGCCACTACTAAAATACAACCACCTCTGGGGCGATATATACATTTGGTGTAACACCACAACGCATAGTAGTTTAAAAAAAAAATCACTAAAACACCCATACAAATTTAGTCAAATTCAACCATGGAAGAAATTTAAGTAGAGAGAATGTAACTGTCTAAATTGGAATTTGGCCAGATTAAGAGTAGAGGTTCTGTTACCAGTAAAGGTCCAAATACTCCTTTCATGATCACAAGTGGTGAGGACCTCCGTTCTCTATTTTTGTGAAACATGTCACTTCCATCAACATAATAGTCCCTCTACCACTAGCTCAATACTGACAGGAAATAATGCCATCTACTGAATCATCTACACCATTTCCTATAGCCTTAAATTGTTCCTTGGAGATCTTCCATGCATTCCAATTCAGTTGAACCTATGATATCCTATAGAATCACAGTAATTAGATTTTTTTAAAATTAAAATCATAGGGGATGAAACTCATAGTTCCTGCATATCCCCCCTTGCACGTTGTTCGACAACAGTGGTGCGCAAACTCTTACAGTTGTACCCCCCGCTTACCAGTAAGGGCATCCATCCATGCCCCCTTCCATTACAGCCCAGCTAAGGCTTCCTCAGCAGCAGAACTTGGGCTGAAAGCAGAGTTGGGGGCAGAACTGGAGATGGGGTAGGAGCTGGGGCTTGAGATGGAGCTGGCCTGGGGACGGAGAGGGAATGAGGGCAGAGATGGTCTATGGGCGGAACTGCGCCTGAAGGCAGAGTGGGGCTGAAAGCATGGTGATCCCTCCCTGGCACACATGGGGGCTGGCCTGGGCCTCACTGTTTGCCCCCCACCCCGAACATTCATCTGTGTCCTCCTTGTGGGGCATGCCCCACAATTTGGGGCCCACCGTTCTAGAAGCATGAGGTGGCAATCATGGTGGTAGGGTCAAACAACTGCTGTAAACTGAATGGAAATCTTGAAACCTATGCAGCCCACCCCCTCCTGCTGGTATCAAAGTTGCAAGGGAGTCTGGAGCACTTTCTCTGCTCAGACATTTTACTAACAGCCAGAGGAGGCACAAACATGCTCTGAACCCCTACACAAGCCTGTGGAGACTAAGGAGAGAGCACTTACCCAGGGAACGCATCACTGACTGAGATGGAAAGTTTTTGAGACAAAGAATCCTTGTTAATATTTTGGCATCATATGACCGAGCCATACAAATGATGGGTAGGTAGTGGGCTGAACTATGCAGAAGAATGGTTTTCATGTTAGGTCAACCCACCCAAAAAGCAGCTCCACAACTGAGAGGAGCCCTAAGAGGCTACTTAACTGCAGTGTAAACTTTAGGGCTCGGGCTGGAGTCTGGGCTTTAGGACTGTAACCCCTTAGGCTGAGCCCCACGAGCATGAGTCAGTTGGCATGGGCCAGCCATCGGTGTCTAATTGCAGTGTAGACATACCCAATGGGTCTTACAGCTCAGACAGTTTTTGCTGTAATTATTTCCTTTTAAAAAGATAATTAAAAAGGCAATCAAAATACCTGTTGCAACTTTTCATTCTCCTCCATGTATTTTCTGGCAGCTTCATTAGTATTTGCTACTTGAATTTCCATAGCTACCTGAATTCCCAACTCTTTTGCCAACTGAGTAATAAGGGTGACAGTACGTCTCAGTACACTGAGGAAGAAACAGTGAGAATTTAAGCATTATTACTTTTTCTAATAGGATTCTTTGCTTTCTGTTAAGATTTATTTTAGATGTAAAGGTGAACAAAATACTTCTATAAATACATTTAAGAGAGACTATTTAGGATCTTAAATTAATAGGACACATGCATAAGCTTAATGTTGACAAATAGTTAAAATTAGAACTTGAAAAGTGAAAAAACCTTTCAGGACCTGAATTCCAGTTCTGAGTGTCACCTGTTCCAAAGGATAACATTACACATATTTAAAAAGTGGGGGAGGGACCTCCATTGCTTACAAGGTTGAAGGTGCTTGTACTGTTATTTAATGTCATAGGAGAAACAGAACCATGAACTCAAGATTCAGGTGCTAAGATATTATGGCAATAAACATGGTATAAGAACCTTTGTAGGAGGCAAGGGTAAAAGCACTTTTCAATTTCATTTTAAAATGTATTTGTAATTTTTGCATATTACTTTCTATGCATTCTATTGATGAATTTGGATCTAAAACATTTGTTTTGTATTAACAAGTAATAAAATACAAAAACACACGTACACAAAAGTGTGACAAAGTCTGAGAGTTTTTCATTTTATAGCGATGATTACTCCCAAGATATCCAAATATGACAGCTCCCCATAATTCTGACTAGGAACACACACCAATTTCACCTCCCTACCAATGCTTCAAGAGAACACTTGAGTCCAAGTGGTATAATTCAGGTTCTCAAAGATCCTCTTTATTCTGAACACACACAAACTTCCACTTCATTTTGATGCATCTTTCTCTCCTTACATTACCAGAGCCTTTCGGCAATACGTTACTGGTTCAGTTAAAGCCCAAGGCAGCAGTGAGCGAAAATTATTTTTGTAAGATGGCTGCCTGGATTCACAAATCCAAGTGGTTGCCTCATCCTTGTTCTGGGGAGAAGCATTAACAGACCTGTTAACCTTCTAGGCCTGGTCTACACTACACAGTTAGGTCGACTGAAGACAGCTTACATTGATCTAATTAAGTTTGTGTCTACACTACCACGTCCATTCTACTGATGTAACTCGCCTGCTACATTGACTTAACTACTCCATCTCCGCAGGAGGCATAGTGCTTAAATCAATGTTATTAGGTCGAAGAGGCAGCGTAGACAGTGCCTTGCTTATGTCCACTTTATTGGCCTCCAGGAGGTATCCCACAATACTCAACTGTGACTGCTCTGGTGAATGTTTTCAACTTTGTTGCTCAATAGCCAGGTACACAAGAAACAGCACCTCTCCTGTTAAAGCACCAAGAACTTTAGAATTCCATTTCCTGTCTGTTCAGCGTGAAGAGCTCACCAGCCAAGTGGATCATGGAGATTCAATGTCCCAAACACGCTCCAGCCCGGAGTACACAGGAGGTGGTGGATCTTATTGGTCTGTGTGAAGAAGAGTCTGTACAGGTACAGCTCTGATCCAGCCGTAGAAATGTAGACACCTACGAAAAGACTGCACGTGGCATAGGGGACCAGTCATTCTGGTTTTGCAGCACAGACATGCCACTTCTACAACGAGCTACATGTGATTCCCAGCGACGACCCCACAACCCCAAAGAGCAGCATAGATACCTGAGGAGTCGGAGTCCCGGGCCACCACAGGCAACACTGAGGTGGTCTTGGACTAGGATAAGGAAAAGGAGAATGGGAGACAAGTGAGCAGGGGATCCATTCTCCCAGAGAGCCAGGAGCTGTTTGAAACCCAGGAACAATCCAGCCAGTCTCAGAACAGCATTGTGGCCAAGTTTGATGCCGGGAAAGGCATCTCTGGTGAGTATACAACTCCAACTAATATTTTGGGGTCATGTTCTTATACTGTTTAATTTTTTTTTTAAATGATGAGGTACGGTGACTATCTGCTTCTCAGTGGCTGCACCAGCTAGGCAGAGGGAGCCCCATGGAAAAACGGTTTATGTGCAGAGGAATGGCCTGGGAATCCTCCATAGAGATCTCCAGGAAAGTTTCATGGAGGTACTCTGCAATCTGTTGCAGAAGGTTTCTGGGGAGGGCTGCCTTATTTCTTCCACCATAGTAGGACAGTTTCCCACACCACTCCAATATTAATTCTGCTGGCATCATTGCAGCATCTGTTCCCTTGCCGCCTCTACTACCCTCAGGAGGGTGATATCAGCTAAGGTTACCTAGGGGAGACAGTGGCAGTTTTCATTTCAATTGCTCAGACTGCGAATAATAGAGCATGTGATTCCCCCATTATGCTTTTTTCTGGGAGCTACTGGGAGGGATCACTGCTTTAGCTCCGTGGGGGGGGAGAGCAGCAAATGCAATGGCTCTCCCTGCAGTTCTCTGCTGCTTCTCCCCACGGATGCAGCTCCCCGTTTGCCAGCTCCAGCAGCTGCAATGCAGGGAGGGGGCCTGGCGGCACCAGGTGACCAAGCAGGTCCAGCAAGCCCTGGCAAAAATCTGGGGACCACGTGACTATGTGCCCCTCTCCACGCATTGCCCCTGGCTTCTGCTGAATAGGGAAGGGTGTCTCAGGCTTTCACCCCCGCAGTAGGTGCCTACTGGGGCCCAGGGCTTAGTACAGAGGCCAAGGACTGAATCATGGACGATTAACCATCCTTTCATCCTTAGATGTGGTCCCTCAAAGGCAGGGTAGAAGCAAGACGGGGGAATGAGACTGTGCTATTGTGACTTGTGTTATATCTGTTCTACAGGTTAAAATAAGAGTTTTCATTTAAAAAGAAAATATTTCAATCTAGCAACAATTGTGGAAGCTTTCATAACCACCTTGGGGGAGGGTCTCTCACCCAAGATCTCTCTGAGGTACTGGTCTTTTTACCAGGATCTTCTCCGGACCCGGAAGCTCTGCAAAGAAGTGCATTGTGGCCGCTGTGGAGATGGGGGCAGGGGGGAGGGAGAAGAGGCAAGCTCTTCCTCAAGCCCCTGCTGCACAACTCTCATATTCATGCATAGGTTAATATGGCTCCCCCGGTGCACTGGAGGACCAGCTTGACTAATGTCATCAGAATCAGACTTCCTGGAATGTGGTCGGTGGGACTGGTGGATCCAACGGTGCTTGCCCAGTGCATGGGGCTGTCCATCCCTTGTGTCCTGTAGATGCTTCAGGAGGTGAAGGCTGCTTTGCCTCCTGCCTCTCTTGCTTATCTCAAATGGGTGCTGTGAGAAGGTTCTCCATGCCCATCACTATCCCAGGACTGTTCAGACCTCAAAAATTGGGCCTCTCCCTCACCTCCATGCCCCACTTGAGTAGGCTGAATGATATCCAGGCAATCCACCTCTGAACAGTGCCTCGAGAACAGCTTATGCTCCACACCATCCACTTCCTCACCATCATGTCTCACCCCGATACAATGTGGTCAGATCTTTTACCCCCTGCAGAGGGTGAGGTTCCCACTGCAGCAGCTTTTATTCCACCTTGATTCCATGATCCACTGAGGACATAATCTGGGGGCTCCTCCATGGAGCAGTGAGCACAGGCATTCTGCTGGCACAGTTCACGGAACCCAATATTTGTCCCCAGCGAGACCCTAGAGCATGCCTACTTCCGCAGTACCAGGTTGCAGCCTCTTTTCTGGCTCCTCCACAACCTCCTGCTGAGATTCTGGCTGCACCTTTCTCCACATCTTTTCCTTTATTAATTCCCAAGTCTATGACCCAATGATGTAACAGGACCTTTTAGTCAACCTCCTACTGGCACTGGCCAAGAGACATACATCAGTCCAGGAAGAAGCAACTTGACAAAGAGGTTCTCTGTAACTGTGATGCCTACTTTTGGTACCTATTTGTCTCAGGTATTTGGGCAGAGTTCCTCTCGGTGGCATACGCCAACTCCTTTGACTGCTTTATTGAGCAGTGGGCACTGAGTAGAGGATTCACTACTCAATGTCCCCAACTGTTGCCTTTGTTTTAAACCAAGGACACGCACTCCTGCTCTTTTCATTATTTGTCCCATGAAATTAGTTGATCCTTGGTCCTATGGCCCCCTCCCTTGATTGAGTGGGTGGGTCTTTAATTCTAGGTAGGCTCTGCCCATCTTTCCTTAACATAAATGGGCTAGCTACTTTGTTAACACAAACATTCACTTAGAAATTTACACTGATCTGTTATTAGTTGCATAATCACTTAAACCTGCTGAAAAGGATATAGTGATTAGCCATCTCTCAAAAAGTGCTCAATAGCCAAGCATATGCTGTGGAGGCTGGGAATATTGCTCTTAAGGATCCACGCTCTTGCTGAGCTTCAGTGAAACAGTCAAGTTAGATTTGAGCCTAGGTTCTCAATACCAACATGCTCGCTACTAGGATTATTTTAATGGTGCTGTAACTTATTTACTGCAAATCTGCAGTTAAAAAAATACTCTTAACGGACAAATTCCAAGAAGGAAATCAACAGTTATAGAAGTCGGAGATGAAAAAACTAGATTATCTAGTCCCATCTCACTGCAAGTCCAAGTTTGTTCCCTAAAATACATTTTCTATTATCCTATCTAGTATAGATTTAAAGTCTCAAAATTAGGCTCCTACAACTTCCCCATAGAAACACCTGCTGCCAAATAACCTCCTGACTGAGATGTTTCTCCTAACAGTCACACCAAATTTTCCTTTTCTAGTTGTAGCTGTGTACATTACATTCAGTAATCCCTTTAGCATTTATACTATCTTAGCCAAGCTATCCATATTTAGCTCTTCCAACCTTTTCTTATAAATTTGTCCATCCAGCTTTCTGATCTTTTTGTTACTGCCTTGTACAGTATTTATTGTATGAGAGACACTGTCCACAAATTGGAATAGCAAATTTTACACTTACAGCCAGAGAAACAGGGAGAATCCTGAGATGTAAAGGTTTCTTTGTGACCTAAAAAGTTTCATCTGAATATGATCATAGGCATTGGGGTTGATATTTGCAGCCTTTTCAGTCCCTTGTGCAGTTGAGTATTTCTTCACTTCTCTAATAGCATCTGAAAACAAAAACAAAAATTGTTTTGTCTTTTTTTTTCCAATGTGTGTGTGGCACAGTGTATTAGGCTACTATATAAGACTGAGAACTCTAGAAATATATGCTTTCTCCTCAGTCCACAGAACGGGCAAATCCCTGTAGTGGCAGTACCAACTTCAACGGCCCTTGAAATGTGCCTGACCCACCTGAAGGAATCATTCTGGAGTGATTAGGTAGTTCGGTCACCATGCTATATCACTGTCCTCTGTCTAGATACAATAGTGCCAGCTATGATGGTGTCTTTTGACATATGTACCTACCCATTAGGAACTGGATCAAGGCAAAAAAATCATTCCACAAACCTTATCACTCCAAAAGAGTGTTTGAACTGAAATTTAAAGAATATCAAAAATGTTTCTAGTCACGTTAAGTTCGTACTCTTCCTGTTTATCTATTGCCCATGGACCCCGTGTACCCTTTAAGCAATTTTCAACACACAAGAAGAAAGATTTACTACTTACCAAGAAACAAAACAATCAGTAGAACGATTATTGTTAGGAATGCCTTATTCCAATAATTTGCTATTTTATTCCATAGTGGAATCATAAAGATCTTCTGCCATCTGTAAAATAACATTGTGTTAATCACCCAAACATTGAACATTAGAAGATAACCACCTTACACAAGAGTTTGTCAATACTTTTAATTCATAATAACCAGTCAAGATCTAGTAACAACTCTTTCAACTGCAATATAATTTAATAGTGTTAAGCTAACTACAACTTTGCTTACAAGCCAATTTAACTTCTCTTCAACCAAAATAGAAAATGTTAGACAAACTGTGTTTATTCATATTGAAAAAAAATCTGTCACAATACTAGCTATTTTCCAACTGTACATTCTTTTGCCTATAAACTTAGCTTTATTACTTGTATGCGCTACACCCATTACAGAATAGAGAACTTCAGGGGAAAATGCATAATCCATAGTGTGCCATTTAATTTTTAGCTACCTGCAAATAGCTTTTTCCTAACTCACTTGAAAAGACTATCTGTAAATCATAAAATCTTCACATTAAAATGAAGTAAACTGACAAAAAATAGTGGCTGTAACTCACTATGCCAGAGTGATTCCTTTCCAGAGGGCATATCTTTTAACAATGAAAAAAAAAAAAGCTCCCCACCTCATTGAGCAATTCCCTACTATACTGGGCACCGTGTTCTTCCTTAAAAATGAAGAGATGTATCCTACTCTTGGGTTTACATTTTAGGGGAGGGAGTTAACATCTCTGATCAAGAGTAAAGATATACACACTATGGAAGCCAGTCTCCAGAAAATGGAACCCCCCCGCAAAAACAAAAACAAAAAACAGTGGTCTTGGATGATGAATGTCATTGCTTTGTTTTATTTAGTCATTCGACATTAATGGATAGATCTGCAAAAACTTCAGATTTGCAAAACAAAAAGTACAACAGAAGAAGTCTGGAATGTTTAAATGAACTGCAAACCAGTAAGAGAGAAACTGGAAGACAGAAGACCCTATTTTCTGCTGGTGTAAACTGGCATAGCTCTGATTTCAAGGGAGCTATGCCCCAATTTACATTACTACATTATTTGGCCCAAATCTACTAGTGGTTTATCATCTGAGAATTATTCAATATTTGAGCCAGAAGGGTTTCATCAAAAAATAATTATGATCCACAAATATTTTTAAAATTTGTATTTTGTTAGGTTGTGTGTGTTCTGTTGGTTTGCAGCTTACTAAGGACTTGATCCAAATCCTGTTGAAAGTAATGGGAAGTCTCTTCATCAATCCTCAGATGAAGGATTAAAAAAATTGTGTGCAATATTATCCAAATAAATATCATATAAATATAACAAATTTCCATTATATGCAGAAGATGCTCAGAAGTTGTGCTAATTTAAAACAATTGATTTAAGGCAGATTTGTGGTTCTTAAAGGAGAGAATCATAGAATCCTATGATTTGAGCAGGGGGTTGGACTAGATGATCTCCTGAGGTCCCTTCCAACCCTGATATTCTATGATTTATTAGGAAGAAACTTCTATGACCAGTCAGGTCATTCCAGACATTTGATTCCTCAAAAGCAGCTGGTACTGACCACTGGTGGGACAAGAATTGGATGAGATGGACCACTGATCTGATCCAATATGGCAATTCCTCTGTTATGGGTCACTTGGCAGAGTGGTTCCATCCGTCCAGATATTTGTATTTTGGTATTTTTAATATACTCACCAGACAGGAAGTTTTGCTTATTATCAGAATTTTAATATCTGTCCATTAACCCAAATAAGCACAGTCACACAGGAGCGCTGCTTGAACAGACAAGTGAGGGCATGTCTTCACTAGCAATGTTAAAGCAGTGAGCTCTCCCAGCGCTGTAAAAAACAAAACAAAAAAACACCTCCACGAGGGGAGTAGCTACCAGCACTGGGAGCGCAGCTCCCGGCACTGGTGCACTGTCTACACTGGCACTTTACAGCGCTGAAACTTGCAGTGCTCAGCTCTGAGCAAAAAAGTTGCAGCGCTGTAAAGTGCCAGTGTAGACAAGGCCTGAGTAACTGAAACTTTCAAGAACAATAGGACCACTTCCTTGCTTCAACTGTACCTGCTTTAACTGCTGTGACAGACTCAGCTCACAAGACCATCTAGAAGTGCTTCGCTTGAAAGTGCTACAACTTGAAAGCCACTGAAACTTGCCTTAAGGTATTGTCACAAGTGCTAAATGTAGTCTTTGATCCAGCAAGATTACTATGACAGTTTTGTTAACAAGATAATTAAACATGTAATTTAAATCAAAAGGATTTTGTTCTTTCAGAATAACATTTTAAGAGACCTGAATGCTGTAAATCAACTTCAGAGCTAGCACAAAATAAACTGGACACTAGAAGAGCCCAATATATCCCATTATTATGGCACAAATGAGCCAGAGTATATCATCAAGCATCATGTTTAACATTTGAATGAATACTGGGACCTAGTAGTATTGTGGGTTAATGAATTATTCATCAACTGAAGACAATTGAAATCCTAGTTACAGCATAAATGAAACTGGGTTTAATGTTTTCATTGTAATTCACACTGAATATCTGCATACATCATAAAACCAGATATTCTTATTCAACCTGTAATGACATCCATACAGCAGCTTTCTTCTACAGATTATCACTATAGTTTAGTTTAACTTTCAGAATACCTTTTTCAGTTATGCATAGCTTTCCTAAATTTATTTGGGCTGAAATTCTCCATAGGCTGCTATGTCTCAGACCTATTAGACTCTCGGGCAGAGGTGGGAGAGAAGAAGTCCAGGACTGGTGGTACATACCGGCAACCATTTTAATGCATACGCCATAGGTTGTTAGGACATCCCTTTGGGATGAGGATGGCCTCTCTCTCATCCCAGACATCCTTAACTGGCTGTAGACATTGCTGTAATACCAGTTTGGAGTGTGCGGTGCAACCCTCTGGCTGTAAGTCTTAAGGAGGAAGCTCTCCCTCCCTCTGCTTCTGGGCATAATAGCAGTCCAAAACAAAAGAGGTAAACAAAATAATCCTGCAAGTCACAAGACAGTCTGGGTTCACCCGACTGTTTTTTCAAAAGGCAAAAAGTCTCTGCGAAGGGGGCTAGGTTCCTAACCTCCTAAGTGCCTCAGGGGCCCAGGCTGAGGGTCCTGCACTTTAAAAAAATAAAATAAAAATAAAAGCAAAGATGGCCTCTCCATCCTTCCACAGGGTCCAGGCAACAAGTATTTTAGCTGCTCTCTCCTGTGACAGGCCTAAACCTGAGGAGTCAACTGTAAAATGAATTCCTGTGAAAAATAAGGAGTGAAGAGGACTGGCCCTCGGAACAACTGTTTTTTCAGGGTGTTAAAAGTCTTTTAACCGTTGTCCTTCTGGTGGACTTTCTTTGGACTACCACCTTTTATTAGGTCCATCAGAGGGGCCCCCTGATAGTGGTAAAAGCCAGGGACAAATCACCCAGCTAGTTCAAGAAAGCATCTTACCTCTTTCTTTGTTTAGAGAACGGGATATGCTGACAATACCTGCACTATGATAATCAGTGGCTCAGGTTGGCTTCCTCCCTCATTATAACCCAAGTAACTAACTTCTTGATTGGCCAGATTGGCCGTGAGCCCTCCCCCCTCAGCCAGCAACTGAAAAACAGCTCGTACTTGCTGCACATGATCGTCTCAGTTGTTGCTATAAATATTGTCCAAATGCAATGACATACTGCTGATGAGGTCTGAGAACCTTGTCCATTAAATGTTGCGGCTGCTCCATGCAAGCCAAAAAGCACTGTCAGGAAGTGGAAGACCTTGAAGGGTATCAAGAAGGCCGTTTTTTCTTGTGATTCAGCAGGGAAGAGGATCTGCCTTTTGTAAAATCTGCTGTAGTGAGGTATTTGGGAGCTCCTAAATGTTGCTACAGCTCATCCACTTGTGGCATAGGGTATGTTGTCTTGATATGGTGGTGTATTAGTCAATTCCATCTGGGTGCAGTGGAGAATACATTGCAGAAGGCCTCACCGAGATGTAAAACCCAGGCTCTTTGTTTAGGAGACTGGCACCCATCTGTACTTGTGCAGGCTCTTGGTGAATGGGTGTTTGAAACCCCAGTTTGGGTTCTGGTAGGTGAGAAGAGTTAAACATCCCTTCCCTGGTTTTCCAAGGCTTCCACAGGTTCACATGGGAAATACTGTTTTTTTTCCCCCTCCTGCCAGGCAGGCAGACTTTGTTGTCCACAAGGTCAACTGAAAAACCACTTCAAAAGGCACTTGCCATCTGGCTAGCACTATGGATTCCATACTAAGGAGTAGCAAAAGTACTCATTATCCAGGTTGGAAGGTCAGTAGGCATGCACCCTGGTTATGTTTGTTCTTGCAAGCTCCCGTCTCCCCCCCGACAGGTTTTCACAAGCAAAAACTCCCAGACTCTAGGCAATCCCTGACATGGAGAACATACTGGGCCATAGCATCTGGCCATGCTGTTCCCAGCCCTCATATAGAAGGTCTAATATTCCTCGAGGCTGTCACCCATATAAACAGATCAAAGGGAGAGAATGCAGTGGAACCTTGCAGTTACCTCCCTTATGACAAACAAGAAGGGAGGAAGTAATTGATCCCAATGCTTGGGATCAGAGGATAGAAATTGTTTTTTAGCATCACTTTAAGGATTTTGTTGAATCTCTCAACTAATCCATCTGTTTGTTGATGGCAGACATAAGTCTTTGGAGACTTGATCTTCAATAAGGAGCATAACTCCTGCATTAACTGGGATGTGAAGTTGGTCCCTTGATTGGTCAGTATTTTGGGGGGGGATCCTTGCTCAAAGTTCCATGGCAACTGCTGTTGCCTTTGTGTAGTCTAGTGGGGATGGCCAGGATCACAAGCAAGTGTTCATATCCCACCACACTTTTCTCTAGGAGGTCTACAATATCAGTCTTGATTTGCCTTAAGGGAGTTTTGATCGGGGGAATGAGATCAAAGGGGCCTTTGTGATGCTCTTTGGGGTAGTTAATTGGTACTATGGACAAGAGGCCCAGTATTCTCTGAGCTAATGGTGGTCACTGGTCCAGCAGGAATGAGTCAATACAGAGACCGGG